CATGGAGGCAGTGCTTAAAAGCCTGAATTTTGCCTGAAACTCTCAGACTGAAGAAGTCTCTTGGAGGAGAGACGAAACGTTTCATTAGAGAAGAACCTGTCCAGAATAATAATAACAACAACAACAACAACAACAACAACAACAACAACAGTGTGTGGGTCAGAGGCAGCCCTGGAGCTGAGTGCTGGAGGAGGGACTCGGGACCACGCTGGATCCACACCCACTCTGTCCCTTTAAAGCCCGGAGAAAGGAAGGCACAGACAGGCCTCCCCGAGCTGTAGCTAAGAGACAAACCCAACTCAAAGTTTGTTACGCAGCTGCTCTTTGAATAAAACCCAATCTAAAACAGTAATGCGCGTTATTTTTGGTCACTTTACTGCTTTAAATTGTTACGTGATCAGTTGAGCCGCACATGATGTAGCGGTCACTTTAGCCGCGTTAGCATTCTTCAACAAAAAAACTCGCCTCACTCTGTGGCTGCTTTACACAAATTTACAATAAAAAATTAAATAAAAAATACAGCCTAACTGTACTATCACGTGGWGTCTTTGGAGGGACCCGGTTCTCACTTTCAAAGAGGATGTTTACAATTTCGGCTTGCTTTGTTAACCTCTTTTCGTTTGATGCCATAAAGCAAACTTACCTCGTTCATGTTCACTTGTTTTTGTGGCTCCCAGGTCGGCTGATTTTCACACGTTAGGAAGATGAAAAAACAAAAATATAAATACCCGGTACGTGGTTAACCTCGGCCCACTTCCACAGTGTCCCCTTGGCGCACATCCACGGTGACCGATTATCTGTGTGCTGCGCCCTAATGGCCAGAAGCTCGGGCCAAGCAGCGTCCGCAGCTCCGGTCCGCCATGTTCCTCTGAGGGAGGAGAAATGAATGAGCAGGAGGAGCGGCAGCGCCCCCTGCAGGCCTGCAGCTCCACTGACAGTTCTTTTRGTTTACTGGCGGTTTGCAAAAACTTTAGGTGTATGGAAGCCCATTTCCGCCACCCTGATAAAAAATAAATAAAACTTGTATCTCATAATCATGAAATAGTATCTCATAATTATGACTTTGCTATCTCATAATTATGACTTAGCTATCTCATATTTATGAGATAGTATCTCATATTTATGAGATAGTATCTCATATTTAAATATTTAAAATTTAAATATGAGATACTATCTCATAAATATGAGATAGCTAAGTCATAATTGTGAGATAGTATCTCATAATTATTACTTAATTATCTCATAATTATGAGATACTATCTCATAATTATGACAGCTATCTCATATTTATGAGATAGTATCTCATAATTATGAGATAGTATCTCATGATAATGATATAGCTAAGTCATAATTATGAGACAGTATCTCATAATTATGAGATAGCTAAGTCATAATTATGAGATACAAGTTTTATTTTTTTGTCAGGGTGGCGGAAATGGGCTTCCATAGAAATGACTCTTACTAAAAATAAAATAAAATAAAAACTCATATCCTGTCAAATGTACTTCACTTTGCTTCGTACAAGGAGCAGTGAAGGGAAACTAGAAGTGAGCGGAGCAGCGTAGGAAGGCAAGGGCCAGGTTAATTAAATAATCGAGCCAATCTCAAATAATTAATCAGAGCTTGAGAACTACCAGATACTGAGTTTCGTTGCAAAATTTCAAATGGATTTAATCTACTTTATTTTCATTTCAGCAAGCCTATTAATCTATCGAACTCTTTCATTTCTGTACTTCTGACAGTTTACCAGAATAAACACTTTCATCTTCTCTACAATCACATTTACAGCATCATGTTTCCCTAGAAGAGAGTGCCATCTAAGACGTGATATAATTCCCTTCTGTTTCTTTCAGCACTTCTCATCTCTCCTACCTTCGTCTGAAAAACCGTCTACATTTTCTTTCTTCTCCCCATTGTTTTTGCCACTTTTCTCTCATTTTATTTTTATGATACTTTTGACTTTTGTTCGACTCACTTTGACATCTGTCTCAACTAAAACTTGTATAGTAGCCTCCTTTGCTTTGTCTGCCCTTTCATTTCCTCTAATAGGCCTACTGAGCTGGAATCCATGCAAGTATGACAATTAACCCCATCATTTTAATTTTAAACAATGTTTGTTGTATTTCTACCAAAATGTCTGGTCTACTTTCTGAAAATTTGTTTTTAATACTAATTAGTGATGAGCTGGAATCTGAATACACTATTGATCTTAATGGCTGATTATCTTCAATCCACTGAACAGCTAATAGTATTGCTGTCATTTCCCCTGTATACACAGATACATTGTCACTTATCCTCCTCCATACTTCCACACCAAACTGAGGAATTATGTAAGCTACACCAATTTGATCCTCTATATTATTTGATACATCTGTATATACTTTAACATATCCATAATATTTACTAATATATTCTTTTCTTATAACAGAATTTAAAGCATTTTTGTTTTTATTTTCTAATAATGCCATATCTACTACTGAAACAGTAAACAACCATGATGATACCACTGACAATGACACAGTTGGACTCATATTAATAATATTGTATCTCTGATTTTCTACACTTTTCTGGTTTATTTCCCAAACAAAACTTTTAATTTGTTTTTTCCCCTTTTTCCCAGGATGATTTTAACAGTTCTTGAGTTGDATGGTTTTGGTCATGCCCTCTTAAACTGACCCAATAATTTAAAGCTAACTGATCCCTTCTTATATAATGGTAATTCTGCCATTTCTATTAGTAAAGATGATGTATTTGTTGTTTTAAATGCTCCAGTGATCATTCTCATTGCCTGATACTGAATATAATTTAACTTTTCTAAAGATGTTTTAGAAGCTGAATTATATGCTATGTTAAAATTAAAGCCCAGGAAGTCCAACATTTCACTGATCACATCAACTCTGTTGATGAATATGTTAAGTTCACACGAGAGGATGTAAAAAATGGCAGGTTGGCATTCCTGGATTGTGATGTCTCGGTTTTGGATGGAGGACGGTTGGAAACTGGCGTGTATCGTAAGCTCACCCACACAGACCAATATTTGCGTTTTGACTCCCACCACCCACTGGAACACAAGTTAGGAGTGATCAGGACTCTGTACCACAGAGCAGACAGTGTCCCTACAAACCCAGGAGCCAGGCAGAAAGAGAAATCACACACACGACAGGCCCTGGAGCAGTGTGGTTATCCTGACTGGGCTTTCCTGAAAGCARACAGGAAACACAGACAGGATTCCATGCAACCTTCAGGTGAAAATGAAGACCCCAAACCCAGACCCAAACCAGTGGTTATTCCGTATGTTGCGGGTGTTTTGGAGAAACTGAGACGTTTATTTTCTAAACATGATGTCCCAGTGGCTTTCAAACCCCAAAACACATTACAGCAAAGCCTGGTTCACCCCAAAGATCCGGTGCCCCGGCACAAACAGAGCAATGTTGTATATGCTGTTAAGTGCCAGGAGGACTGCGACCAGTTATACATCGGGGAAACAAAGCAGCCACTGTTCAAAAGAATGTCCCAACACAGACGAGCTACATCTAATGGCCAAAACTCTGCAGTTTTCACTCATTTACAGGCCAGCGGTCACTCTTTCRGAGATGAGGATGTTCTCATTCTTGATAGAGAGGAACGTTGGTTTGAGAGAGGAGTAAAAGAAGCCATTTTTGTGAAGAAAGACCGTCCATCATTAAACAGAGGTGGAGGCCTCCGTTTTCAGTTGTCCCCCTCCTACAGCGCTGCCATTGGCAGTATCACTCCACCCCCTGTTAACAATAGGTGTTAATTAGGTGTCAATGATAGCCATGTGATGTGAGTATCAGTCACATGGAGGCAGGGCTTAAAAGCCTGAATTTTGCCTGAAACTCTCAGACTGAAGAAGTCTCTTGGAGGAGAGACGAAACGTTTCATTAGAGAAGAACCCGTMCAGAAGACCTAYACAATTTTTTTCCTTTTGATTACACCATAAAGTCTTAACTAAGAAGAGAGCAGCTGATCATTTAGCTGTTTTTACATTTGAATCATCAGCCATTATATTAGCCTTATAATGGTTGCTTGATAATGATATTAGGAAAGAAAGTAAAGTTATAATAGCATCAGATAGTTCAGCAGCATTATTAAGTATAAGTCTGGTAAATCATGTAGATTAGAATTATTATTAAATATATACCACTTATTATATCATCTGTATAACAAGAAATGCTTTGTTCGATTTGTCTGAATTCCTGCTGACGCAGGTGTAGAAGGAAATGAAGAAGTAGATATTTCAGTTAAGCAGGCCTTGAAATTAGAAATTGTTAATTTAAATATTCCTTTAAGTAAAAGTGAGGGGAAATCTTTTATTCAAAAATAAATTATTAAGATTTGGCAGGAGCAATGGGACAACCATGATAAATGGAGGACAGCTATATGCAATTCAAATGATTGTGGGAGGTAATAATTGTCTGAGTGGAAGGTGGAAAGAGGAAATAATTATGTCTCGACTTAGAATAGGGCATTCTGGGCTCAATAGTTCTCTCTTTAGAATAGGAAAACATGAGAACGGGGCTTGCAATTATTGTAATCAGATGGAAACAGTGGAGTATGTCTTGTTAGAATGTGACACATATTCAGAGGAACATCAGATGTTAAAATCATTATTAAGCAGAAAGAATGTAGGACTGTCTATGATTACTCTTTTAGGAAATAAATCAAACTATGTTAGAAATCACTTGTTTAGGCTTTTTAATAATACTGGATTAATTAATCGTATTTAGAATATGTTAGGATGTTAATTTGCACATCATACATCTCTGAGATCACTGATGACCACACCTCCAGTCTGATAGGTGGCGGTAAATGCACCTTAAGCTGGTTGACCGCCGCCAATAAAATTCAAAAGAAGAAGAAGAAGCAGAAGAAGAAGAAGTACGCATGCGCGAGTTTTTATCCGAACTACACTATGGCGGCGAGAGGCCATGTGCAAGATCCAAACGACAGGAGGCTCAGACCTATATATGGTGAGTTTTCAATGGGAACATAGATAATACAATACATGTGATTGTTTATAAAATTTACAAGTGACTTGTAGCGAGATATATATTTAAAATAAAAACTTATGGAGGTCAAAGGCGGTGCTGCGGCCCCCCCAGCTCTAGCCGCGGACTCTAGTGCTGGCCGCACCGCCCGATGACAGTGCACCTTGTCCGTCCTGACACAGCCAGACCGGTAATAACTCCGATGGTTAACTAAACCAAGCCATACATCCCTGTATATGAAAGCCACACACAGTTGTTTTCGTGTAACTGGTCTTAAAGACTTCTGATTACCAGATAGCTCCATGTGGCAAGGAGACTCTGACAAGGCTTGTCAGAGTCGAAGTGTTTTCTCTTAGCTAGCGAGCAGTCGTGAGTTTGACAGCTAGCTTAGCTGACTGTATCCAGCTAGCAGCGCGTCAACACGGGGACACACAGAGCAGTTCRTTATACTGGCACTTTTTGCATGATGCTTTTTTTTTTTGTTCCGGACCACAGCTGAAGCCATATTTTCTAATCAAATGAAGTATCCAGTTAGCGTTAGTTAGCRTCAGGACTATGCTCCGTGTTAACTGAACTAGCATGTGAAGCAACACATGAGGCGAGTTTACAGCGAGTTTTTGTTTACGTCGCAAAAAATCGGATTTGGGTCGCATTTACCTGCAGTGTCAACGTAGACATGGACTCTCTAAACCAGAGGTTCTCAAACTGGGGTCCGCGAGCTGTATCTTGGGGGTCCTCAAATATTTAAATAAATTAATTTGTTTTTTTTTTAATAAAAAAAGCTTATGGAGAACAATGCACTAATCAAACTAGGGGTGTCCCGATACAACTTTTTCACTTCCGATACGATACCGATATTGACCGATACCATATCAGTACGAATCACAAACTTTTACCTATTTTGTAGTATCAAATCTTAGAAAATTCTTGATCAAGTTAAACAGTGAAAAAGAGTAGGTATGAGAAAAATCGACCCATTTATTTTTAACTAATGGATCACATATATTTTAACTGAAGAACATTCTACAGTTTAATAAAATAAATTTGAAGACCCTGAAAATAAAACATAATAGAAACAAAATGTACTTTTAAAATGTGAAATAACAATTCAAAGTCACTCCATTTATTTTATTACTATCTGTCAGTCTGGTGCTGCTTTATGGTGGGAATAACTGAATGTGGGGACAAAACAAAACCCCACATTATTATCCAATGTCCAGTTGTTCAAAGTTAAGAGTCCACAGCTACAATTTTACTAACTGTGCCCAAAACAACGTGATCATTGCACTTAATCTTCACTAAAACAAGTGTGTAAACAGATTAAACATCACTCTAATAACAAGAGCAAAAAGTAAATAGAATTATTCAGTTATTTAAATTGATAGCTACCTTTCTTACTGCTGCATTTCCACTTTCTACAGTCTGAGCATCATGTGGAGATTAGCCTCTGGCTCCTGCAGGGAGCAGTTTTTAGCACTGCTCTCATCATGTCACGCTCGTATTCCAAAACAAAAGCTGCGCTCTTCCTTTTTTCTGTCCATTGATCCCAGAGCTAATCCATGGTAGGGTTGGGTACCGAAACTCTGTTCTGTTAAGGCACCGGGGCGAACATCCATGGTAGTACACARACTGAAACCCAACTTTGGTGCTTTATTTCGGTGCGTGAAAGAAAGCTGTTAATTTGCACCCTCTGGTGTTCACTGTTAAAAGTGACAGCCGCGGCACACAATCTCCACGGACCCTCTTGTACGCGGTTCGACTCAGCTCGGTCTCGGCCCAATGCATCTCTCCAAGCGCGCTCCACAGCCGCCCTGTCTCAGAACCTCCTCTCCTGTGGTTCGGGTAGAAGCGAGTACAGCATGCTTATGATTTTAACGTCAGCAGAATTCTGCCTGTGGATTAACTCTTGGACTGACAGCAAATTTCTTCCTGGAGAGAGCTGCTTCTGTTTAATACGAGCGCGCAGCGCGATACGATGACATGGTGAAATAAAACTGCCTTTTTGCGAAAGGCAGATCTTGTAAAAACTTCTGGAAAGAAGTGAATGAGATGAAGCTGAGCAGATCACGGGTGGTTTTCAACAAACTGGCTGCAGGGTTACACAAGCACTTAGAAACAGCACCATGATAATTAATTAAAAAAGTGAAGTCCGAACAGTAAGACCACAACAGCTTTTTTAATTTTATTTTATGATTTATTTTTAACACAACAGCTGAAGCCTCTGCGGACGATCTGCACATTATCACACCCACTGCGTGGAGACACACGAACACTGAGCAGAACCGACCCGACCCAAAGTGAATCGAGTAGAACCGAGTTTATGGAGAGAGGCTGAACAGGTGCCGCTGCAGTTAAGTTATATATTATAGTCGAGATGTCGAAAGCAAAACGGTCCAAAGTGTGGTGTCACTTTACAGAATATGATGCAGAAACTTCCGCCTACAACAAATGCTTTAAGAATATTTGGTGCAAAGACTAATTAGGCCTACTAATGGTTTTAAGTTAAAGGCACAGTGTGTAGGATTTTGTCAATTCTTTTAGCCGAAATTGAGATAATCACTAATGACAATAATAAAATTAAAATGTAAACTATAACGTAAATTTTAGCAGCACATCTATAGAAGTTTACTCTGCTTCAGTCTTAAACTGTTAAAAAAATGACTAATAGTAATAAAGTGCAGTAAATTTCAGTTCAAACTTAAATTGAACAACTAAAAAAAAATCTGAGAAGAACCTGAGGGAAAAATAAAATGTTTTACAACAAACTTCCTTCCATATTCTGCTTATGTCTTAGTTCGTATTCAGACC